CGGCAGCAGGGGGAGCCGGCGGGGGTGGGGGGACATCGAACTGCAGCCCGGCAAGGCTGAGCCGTACGGCCCCGTCTGCCCTGCGGCGCGGCCCCGCCACGAACCGCCCTCACGCCGCCGGCCCCGACCCCCTGCGCGGCTGCTGAGTACCGGGGACGCGTGTCTGCGAACCTCTCGCCTGTATTAAATGCCGCGTGGCTGCCAGAAACGGGGGGGTTTAGGCACTGAGGCTGCCCTTGGTTTGAGGTCGCCGGGGGCTCACCTGTGGCGGTGGCCCGTGGGGCAGAGGCCTCGGGCCTGGCGCTGCTGCCCGCTGGGAGGGAGGTCGGGAGGTCGGTCGGTCGGGCAGCAGTGCGGCCCTGCCGCGGCAGCCAGCGCGGGTGACGGGCCTGCTCCCGGGGGTTCGCTCCTCGGGCGTACGCCCTGTGTTCTTACTTCACCCCAGTCGCAAGCGGAAGGGTTTCGAGACCCGTGGTGTCATTTATACAATGGGAGAAGAGTCTGTAATGGCACAGTGGCCACGAGCTTCGACAGGTGGAGGATTTTTGGAATACAAGAGTAGGAAGTTTTGTTATCTGCTACGTCTGCATCAAAAGATCCACAGCGTTTACGGGTACACATTTTCGTGTAGGGTAAGTTACCAGACTCAGAACAACTCGAGGTCAGTGTAGCATCGAAGTCACGCCTGTTTAATAGGCAGAACCGCAAAGTTTTGAAGTAGGTTGGCATGCTAATCTTCGCACTGCGCTTTGTATTGCATTAATTTTGCATAACTATAAAAACAGTATATTTATGTTTACAGCTAGCAAACAAAACTTCTGTGCAAATGGCATGGGCCTAGGTCAACCTGACTGAGTCTACTGTCTTAGAGTACGATGCACATGAGTGAATTCCTCTGATTTCAGGAGGGCTTTGCCTCCGTTATATTATGTAGGCATGGCTTAAGGCCCTGACCTGTCAAAAAGACGCATGAGTTCAGGGTCCTGAACCTGTCGGTTCTCCCCGTGATTTCAGCAGGAGTGTGTGGGGGCCCAGATCTGTGCTAGTGCAGTACATTCAGAATTGGAGTCTACCTATCCACACAAAATAATCCAGAAAGAAGTGAAAAGTGTACTTGTAGTAGTATCCTGATTGTGCAGCGTTGCATCTGACATCTCGTTTCCCAAATGGAGTTTTATTTGGGGGTGAGGGTGGTGTCACATAGCAGGGAAGGGTAAGAGAGAGAGACAATTCATGAGGTGTGTTCAAAGGAAAAGTCCCTGTTCTTGGCTTTAGAAAGTCATTTAGAATTACTTTGGAACTTTTTTACTTTTGCTTTATTTAACCTAAAAACTCAATCCTGAAATTGAACGCTTACTTCTGGTTTAGGAGCTTCTTGATTGTAGTGAAGTTTAATGACTGTGCTAAGCTACATTCTTGCAAATACTTAACCATACATATAATTCCTTTTTATTCAGGAACAATTAGAGGCCTAGTGATTTGTATTCCATTTTTCCTTCATTTCTCTCTGTTCCCACAGCAGGCTTACAGCCTGTTTTTCTGCATGAAATCTGTAGCACATGCTGTCAGGGTATAGGCTGCCCTCTTTTGCCTTCCTCTTCCTTTGGTTGTTGTGATTAAATTCATGCAATTTACCCATCAACTCCAACATCCTAATGGGTCTGTGAGAAAGTGGCTCTAACTTCTGAAGTAACTTGCAATAAGTTTTTCCAGTTTATTGTATCCCACAGTGGTACAGAGCTTCTCCAGGCCTCTTAGCTTCAGTGTCTGCTAGGTAGTTTAAGTTTTGTTCCGTATGTGTTTTGTAAACATTTTGAAGTGCTTTCAAAATATAAGATAACACAGGCAGGAAAAGACATGGTAGTTCTAAACGAACATTCTCACATTGCTGATGCTGGACAGTTAAATCATAGAATGGGGTTCAAAATCTTGGTATAAAAGACCAGAAGCTGGTGGGTTGAGATCCATGGTCATATTCTTTTTCATTTCCACGAGGTCAGTCCTCCAAATTTGAAAGCTAGGAGTAATTGAAATACTTGTCAAAGCAACTGTAATATTTTTAAAAGTCTGGTATTGCAGATGTTGAGAAAAGTGGTCGGATGTATTTTTGGGCCTTGTACACTTGTACACACATCTGTATATTTTTGTTGTTTGGCTTTTCATTCTTCATTAGATAAAAAGAATGCTTGGGGGTTTTTGTGTGTTCCAGTCTTTTTCTGTATTTACTCTCTTTTTTTCCTTTCGACTTTTGTTCCATTTCAGTGCCTTTTGCTCTGTATCCTTTCATGTATCTTTCTCTGCTTTTATTATGCTCATCACCAACTGGTTGCTTGTTCTTTTGCCTCCGTGTTTATGTATTTTTGCACTTACTCTACAGCGATATACATTTCAGGTCTAGTGTGCACTTGGTACTCTAAACAATCTTTGCACCACATGTACCTTGAACATTCTTTAAACTAACCCTGAATAGGATGACGTAGGAAGGAATACTGGGACAAAGCCAACTTAGCAAATACTGAAGGGACAGAAAGTCATTATTTCCAGTGATAATCTCACAAACTGAATGCAAAAGAACAAGCTTCAGGAGTGAGAATCCACATAAATTTTGCTCATTCTTTAGCTGAGTTCAAGTATTGATGGTAGACAAATATATATAAAGTACTCTGTTGGGTTACCACATGATTTTTGCTTGGAGTCTGGGCTTTTGTCTAACATTTGCCTCACTGAATGACCCATGTTTAGGATATTTAAAAGCCTGTGTAGAGCTGTAGGGTGAAGACCTGGTCAATAACTGCGTGTTTGACACAAATGAAACTGAGCCGTAGCAAGAACTTTCTTGCTGTCTGGACTGAGATGGTGGCCTAAGTCCTCTGGAAACAAGTGATCTTCATAAATCTCAAAATACTATCCCAAGAGTACAGCCCATTCTTTTGAACACGCCTTTGAATGTTTCTTATTTGAAAAAAAAAACCAAACCAATCCTTGGTGCAAACAAAGTACCTTTTCCATCTGGAAGAGGGTGAAAAGAGGAAAGTGTGAGAGTTATTAGTTGCTTTGAGTGCACTGCTAGAAAGCAGTCACGGAAAGGTGGTTATACTGTACTCTTCACTGAAGAGAACAGAATTCTTGAAAATAATTTTGGTCACCAATATCTTGGTTGCAGAGTTCTGTTTGTTTGGTTTTAAGTGTTTTCAAATGTCCATACTTACTTCTTAGCCTGACAGCCATGTTT